CTGAGGGACACCACTCGTTACTGATCTCCACAAGAGACCACTTCCAGAAGAGCTCAGTCGTTCATGCCCTAATGTTAGTACTACCTTTTAGTACATAAGTGGTCCAGAAACTCTTGAAGTGTAGAGAGTATAGACACTGCTCACAACTGTTTCATTTATAAAGCTGGTGTTTAAACAAACAAACAAACAATCCCCCACAACTGCCAGTTTGTTTATATCGTGACTTAACACTTTTTACATCATTTCGGGAGAATTTTGAGTGTTGGTGAAATGTTCCCCTGGCACCTCTCAATAGGGAAAAAAGGATGTTTTGCAGTGATTATAGTATTGGGTTTGAGCTTTGAGTTCAATTTATCTTTGAGTGATATTTATTTAATCTCAATTTAACTTTAGTAAAGAGTAGTACCAGGATATAGAGCTAGTCTTTGAAGCGTGTAGATGTATTGATTTAGCCGTAGAATTAAGATTGTGTTAAAGCCCATGTAAAATAACTTCATTTGTGAATTAATGTTCATAAAGTTTTAAAGAAATTGTAAATTCTGATGACTGATAAACAATGATCTGATGATGTTTTCTAAGAACTTATCTTTTTTTCTCAACAACTGTTGGGTGTAATGAGAGGAAGAGAGAGAAAATAGAACGATTAATGCACCATATGTACAAAACAAAAAACAGTCTGTAGGTGTTAAACTGAACAAGAATTTGTTTTAGTCCCATCTTTTTAATGTAGTTAGCATTTACTCATTTGTACTGCATTTGAATGTCTTGTATGCAGTAATGGATACTTGCTACTTGTTTTTAATTTTGATCTAAAGTGTATATATATATATGTAAGGTCTTTGTATCTTTTGCAAACACTTTCTTGCAGAAAACACTGTATGTTTCTGCACAGTTTAACCCTATGTATATAGGTGATTTGAAATCCATCCATTATCAAGCAACAAAATTACACTACATCTTAATGATTCGGGGTTGTTTCTTTTGTAGAAGAAATAAGCTGCTTCCCCTTCAAATCTGTCTAGGACAGCAGCTGCAGATGAGAATGAGCTTCCATATTTAATACATTCTATTAACTTCACACATACAAACACACACTCACTCGCTCATGGACCCCAGTGTCACATTATAGGTGAACAGGCCCTAATTAAAAGCACGCACCATCTGCCAGTGTGCGGCAGCAGGGTGGCACTCCATAACCATCCTGGTTACTGTGATTGAAATGTATTATTTATGAACTCAAAGAGAAAAGATGCTGCTTGGCTGGTGTGGGCTGCATTAGGAGCTGGATAGCACCATCTAATGGTATGGAGTTCTGCTGACTGTTCATCTTTCTTATACTTCCTCTTCCCTTCTCAGACTCCTCCCCCAATATTTTTATTTTACATCATCATCTTTGGAGTATTTTATGATCATGTTTCAGCCAATTTTGTATCTTGTGTTTCACTTTTATACAAGATTGAAAATGGTTGTTGAAATATTACACTCTTTGTGGTACTCACAGCAGCATTTTTTTTCCTTCCAGCACCACACATATGGTTTTTCTTTCTATAGTAAAGATGATACTACTCTGATGTGGTATAGAAGTGGGACATTATCGAGGTAGCTGAGCAGGATCAGGTTACTGTTGTTTCTCCTGCTCCTCCCATGCCAGTGTGTAATGAAAATGTCTGCTGATCAGTCTGATAATTTTATTTTAGTATTTAAATTAGCCCTATTTTTTTATCGGGCAGTACACTACAGACTACAGAAAGGTTCTTTGCTGGGTTGAAAAGAGCAGGGAGACATTCAGAGATAGCTACAGCTTTGGACCTTCATTTCTGAAGGGATCATAACATCTTCCTACTTTGAGAGACTGTGTCCTGTTAATCGCTTCTTAGTGAGGAAATGGACAAGGAAGTGTTTGACTGAGGGGTGAAATACGCTTTGTCAGGAGAGGAAAGAGGTGAGACAGGAAAGGAGCCCTTTTTGTTATGGTTGTTGCATCGGTCTACCTTTGTTGGCTGCTAGATTACAAAGTCAGAACTAGTAATAATATATAATGCATTTAGTAGTTAGCTCAATGACCTTTAGAGTATGCAGAATAAGAATAGTTGCACTGTTCTGAAATAATTTAGGGGATGATTTTTGGTTCTTAGGCTTTTTGTTATGTTCTTAAGCTTTGCAGTATCCATGCTGAACATCCAACAGCATGTTTATAGCGATAACAAGCAGTAAGGAATGGACTGATACGTGAAACACGAATTTTTTCTACAGTAACGTCCAGTAAACCCACTCTTTTTGTAATTAAAGAATCTGGTCACTGTTTCAATTCAGTCAATACAAGACCCTGAATAAAAAGAATTATGTACAAAACTGGGAAAAAATTTATGAGTGTGTGTATGTATATTGATTTTAAAAATCAGCACGTCTTAAGGAATGTTGAAGCATCATGAACTGTGACAGATTTATGAATACATGTCATCTTATTGTTTGTGTTTAGAATGTATGCCATCAGAAGGATAAGAGATGCCTTCAGAGAAAACAAGAATATAAAGGATTCTGAAAAAATAGAAGAACTAGTGAATAAAGCCAAAGCAAACCTAGAGGTTATTCATCGGCAGGTATGTTTTATTTCATTTTATTTAAAACTTGTACACTCAGTTAATTGTCCTACACCACTACAGATGGAATAAAATAGATCCTTGCTCAAAACATCTCTAGGTGAACAGTAGTTTTGCTATGTCTGAGCTTGAGAAGGTGGGAAACATCTCTTTATCCATGATGGTTGCAATAGGGGATTTAGGGATTTTTGTTCCATTAACCGGAACAAGCCTGCTGTCAAAAGTTTATATGCTTTTCTGTTACCTTTTCTGCTGTTTGTTTTACTGTCTCTTCACTCTGCTTCTCTTCCTTTGAATCTGTTTCCTCTAGCTTATGTGTGTTAGATTCTTTCCTCATACTTTCCTTCTTCCATCACAGGTTTGGAAGAGTCACTGTGACACTCACTCTGAATAGTCTCGCTTTCTGTATTTGTTTTTCCCCACCTCCAGATACAGTGTTAGAACAGTAGCAGAATAAGAAAATCATAAAGTGAATTAAGTTAATTCTGGCTAAATGTGTCCAAGCAGGGAGATAGATTTTTCTTTGGAAAAAGTTGAGTCACTGGCAATATTTTTCACTTGACCTTATCTGAGTAGCATTTATAGTATCTCTGTTCTTTCCACTGGGTACCATATTATTTAGACATGAATTATACTTCATTGAACTTCAGGTACTTTATTAGTTCTAATATATACCCACTGTCTATCTACAGTGACCACTGGAAATTTGAAGAAAGCTAGTTTCTATGCCTGAACTCGCTAAGGGCACTTGCAATGCTTAAGCTGTCCCTCATTGCAAAATCTATGCTTACTGACACCAATAGTATCACACTGAGCTCAGTAGTACTTTTATTAAGTATTGAATGAATATGCGCACCTAATCCTCCATGGTCTGTTTTAACATGAATCTTTTAACAACCAGTGGGTCAGTTACCTGGATTCTATTTCAGGAGGAAGCTGGGCCCTTTAATTTGGCAATTAAATGTGAATATTTTGGTGTGAGTTAAATTATTTCTTTGAAATTTCTTTTCCCAGAAGCAGGTGGTGTTTTGTGGGTACACAGCTTTGCTATCTTTTTTTAACCCAAACACTGCTATTTTTTTATTTTAAAAGTGTTTCTCAAAGAAGCAGCTCAGATTGGATTGATTCCATGCAATTTTTTTTCAATTTTGGGGTGTTTTTCTCATATCTGTATGTGATGAGTAGCATTTTCTGCTCTTCCTTTTGAGGTTTTGTCTTGGAGAGCCTTGATATTCAGTATTCTCCGGAGAAGTATTAAAAGCGGAGACTGGAGAAGACAATGAAGCAGGGAGTGCCACAGGAGAAGAGTCAGAGATCACTCAGACAGATCTGAGTTAGTACTTAGTTTATTGAGTTCTAATCAGTAAATTTAGGTATGTAAAATATTTAATCAGTACAGATGGAATGGGATTCTATGCTATTACTATACTTAACGTTAGTATGAGATACAAAGATTATCACTCAAGCTTACTATACATATCTTAAATGTTAAACCCATGCAAAAAATTGTAACCTAGCAACCCATTGATGTCTCGTGTCAGGTAAGGGATCTCTCAGCCTTGAGGGGTAACCTTGAGAAATGACCTTTCTCAAGGGGAGAGCGATGCTGCACAGCCAAATGCTCCAACTAAGGGAGAGCTCAACAGACACTACAGATATTTACAGCATAAAGTGGTTGATTTGTAGTCAGATCTGCTGTGTTAACATGGTTTCAGCCGCTGATCAGCCCAGTCTCCAGCCAAATTGGGGTTTGGGGATTTTGGTGCTTAGTTATCATGTAAAACCTCACCAAATAGGATTAACTTAGGTCAGGTGTACTGAGTATGTGCCTGGTCCAAAGTTCAGTTAGTTCCAACGGGAGGAGTTGTATCCATCCCAGCAGTGGCAAAAGATAAGAATACACGGGGTCAAATTTTGCCACTTAAAGAAATCTGTATCAAAGAAGAAACAATTTATTGGTATGGGATGTCCCACAGTAAAATGCTACAGAAAATCTCTTCTGCATTGTGGCTAAGATAAATCCTGTCAGCATGTCAGAAAATGCTCTGTGATGGTTGTAAGCAAGAATGTAAACACTGTACGTTTGATGAATGAGGAAAACATTAGTGAAGCTACCACAGTAACCATTTCGCCATGAAATGAAACGGATGACTGAGGTGTACTAAATTTATTTTTGTTTTAAAGTATCGTTAACTATGTGCTACTTGGTACAAGTTTTTTATAATAGCAAGTGCTTCCTTTTTCTGAGAAGAGTTCAATTTCAAGGTGTCAAAGCACTTGAATAGGTGAGAAATACTGTTCTGCTTTATAGATATGTATCAGAGTTGCTGAAATGAGGATACTGATTTGTAGTACCTGAATGTTTGGGGTACCCTGACCTGATGGATGGTTCTTGCTGGTTCTATAAGCCTAAATAATAAAAGGCAGTTCTAAGTCAGATGGTGGGTACGTCTTGCTAAAATAGAGCTTTTCAACTTTTTTTTTGACAGAACAGAGTTCTACTGATTCATTTGAGCCAAAATAAAACTCCTCTCTCCTGTCTCAGTCGTGTGAACACCCAGATTACTCTGTTACTTTAGACCCTCAAAAAAGATACCATTTCTCTAAAACAGGTGGGAGCTCTTGACTCAAGGTGGACTCTTTTCCTTCTAGGTTGTGGGTCTGATCTTGCACCTTTTATGATGTTGGGGTTTTTTTAGCTTAAAGATTGTCCCTCAGCATCAGATAGGTCTTTCAGCTGCCTTGGAAAGTGTAGGAAGAGCAGACAGGCTTCGCTCATCTCTGCCTGGTATATCCACTTACTGTCCTTTGTAAAGGAGTAGTTGGTCTTAAGGACGTTTTGCATTCATTGGTTGCTAGTGAACATTTTGATCATACATAAACATATACATGTGCTTACATGAAAATCTCAACACGTTTTAGTTTTGCAAACATAGAAACTAGCATTTAATACAAATATGCTAAATATATTATAATCAAACTGTTGTCAAGCAAATGACATTAAGTACCTATCTTTCTGTTAGGCTTTTGTTACTTGGAGGGTTATCTTTGTTACTGGGATATACCAGAATAATGCAGGATGGCCTCAGTTATTGCTAAACTGCCGGGTTTTGCTTGTTTGTTTCAAATCTCAGCTATTTAAGGGGTTTCTCCCACATGCAAAACCAATCTGCTAAAGCTAAAGTAGTTTGAAATTGGACCACATTTTGGTATAATTCTATATAAGAATTTCCAGAAAAATATGCTGGAAAAGTAAGGAATATTAAAGAGTCTGGCACAATGTTGTGGTTTTAACATTGCTAAAACAGTGAAACTTACGTTGAAGTATATCTTATATGTCACCCTTCCAGAAATTTACCAAAGTATAATCATGTTGCATTCAGTTTTGGAAGGGTCTATGTGTTTATCTTGTATGTTTGCAGGCATAACAGACAGTCAAACTCACAGGAACATAGTAGGAAACAAAACATTTTAATAGAAGATAATCAAATACGAGAAAATTAGTTTGTCAAGGTAATTTTGACACGAGTCCCTCAAGGCTTGATGTTTGAGCAATAAGGATTATTTTTTTTTTCTTTGAGTTACACCCAAACACACCCCCCCAAAAAAAAAAAAAAGTTGTTCTAAAAAATTGAGGACTGTTGTTCTTTGCAGAATTTCTATTATGTTTCACTGTCATCTCACTTTCAGCTATAAAGCAAAAGATAAATCATGGAAAAATATCAGCACTGTCTTAAACATAAGCTTTTCATCAGGACTATTAAAAGCCTTAGCATCTGAATTCATATTAATATTTACTTGCTGTCAAATTTAATCATGCTCTGTGGAAAAAAATTAATTCTTGCTCTCTGTTTAATTGAAGAACTAAGTAATGAAGTCATCTGACATTATGAAGACATTATATTTAAAACTAACCAAGCATAATAGAAAGTGATTTTATTTTTAAATGCAGAAGCACTGAAGCAAACATAAGCTCTAGCATACTTTTTTTTTTTTTTGCTAAGTTTGGGGTTTATTATGGTGTAGCGCATCTTGGTATTGCTGACTTTTTCATAGCTTGTTGATAGAAATTAAATAATATCCCACTTTGCTGACAATTTGTTGTTACTCAAAAATCAAATTTATATTCACTTTACATTCTAATTTATGGTATAGTCATCAAAGTGACCATTGAAGTGTAAGGTTCATAAATAACTATGTGAATCAGCTTAGTGGGAAATGTGAAAGAGTGACAGATTACTGTCATTTTGTTATGTCAGTCACTGTACAATTTGCTTGAATGTATAAAAGTAGCTTTATAAAGTTAAAAATCATGGAGAAACATTAATTTCTGTCTTAGTCCTCCTCTGCTTGTTACTGGTTTTGATTTAAAAATAGTCTGGCTAAAGGAAGCAACAACTCTGATTCTTTACTTAACACTGTGAAGACCTTTTCATGTGTGTTTACTGTGTAAGCAGCACCATTTGTGGTGGCTTCCCTGTAAAGAAGGGCATTGTGAGAAATGCACTGACACAAGTAAGTTTGAAATAGAAAGTTTTTATAAGTTTTGAGGCTAAGTCTTGAGGTCCTTCAAGGATTATCATAACAGACATTCCCCAGCTATGCTAATATGACTTTGTGAGTTTTCATTGCTACTGGAATATGTTAGCAGCAGGAGAATTTGCCCTGAAATTTTACTGCTGTTGCTGAGAGTCATGATTTATAGAAGCCATTTCAAAGATAGGATAATACCAACTGATTTGAAATATTTGCTAGTTTTCTTTGTGGCATGCTGTCTCTCAAATTTTAAACTGGAAATATAAAAGTGAAATTCAAAAGCTGTATGAGACCTGTGTGCTCTGATTAAATCCCTGTTTTAACTTATATGACATCTCACTCTTATGTATTCCTCCACAATACTTTCTCCGTAGTTTTAGATTGTAGGTAGAAAGCAAAGTCATCTTGTTGTCCAGCTAAGAAGGGTTATTTTTTTTTCCTGGGAGCTCTGAAGGCTTTAGTAT